CAATAGGTTTGTCTGAAATGTAAAAATCGGGAGTTTTATCATTTTCTGAGGTTCCTTTTTGTGCCCTTAAATATTGTGCAGTATTTAAAACATTTGACCAAAAAGAAAACAAAAACCAAACAAACCCAAACAATAAAACAGAAAACCCCCTGGTAATTTGCTGAGGCTTGTCCGTCTTTTAAAATTTTATAGCAGTCGTCTTCCTGAAATTCAGTGTGTAATTTTCTCCTGAATAATATTTCTGGTGATTTTTCAGTCTCATTTTTCTCAAGGTATTTGCAGTCCCTTTTGAGAATAGTTTTATGCACTCTTTTAGGATTTTGTGTTCAAAGCCAAGAAAAATTGTGGAAACATTTGATGGGAATACCCTTTCAGTGAAGACAGGAAGAATGCATTCTGATCATATATTGCTGCAAAAATGGTAATTTGTTAGCTCATTAGTGTAGTGAGAGTATTCCCCTTCTCTCAAAGTTGTTGTTCCAGTCTGTGTCTCTCAAGACTGTAATAGCACTGAATGAATTTTTATTTGGAAGGTTAATTTTGCAGCCAAAAGACTAAAAATTAAAAAACAATGTAGATAATGGATATAGTTGTAGCCCTTCAGAAACCTTGGGAAATACAACTAAGACATGTTACACTCACAACCTGTACTCATTCCTGGAGATGAAAAGAATGCATTAAAAAAACCTCCATTCCAAACGAAATCAAACCAACCAACCAAACAAAAACCCCAAAACCAAACCAAAGCAAAACAACCAACCTCAGATGTTATTATAGAAACTATATTTATTTATTTTCTAGACTATTATCAGCCTGGTATTGTTAAATGAAATACTGACATTTTGGTTTTAAATTGTTTATCTCACAGACAGAACAGGCACTTGAAGGCAAGATAAGAGTATGTGACCTTTCCATGTGCACAAATTTACTGAAGAAACCAGGTTGCAATGAAGACTGGGGCAGTGAGGGAGGCAAGAGTACATTTGGCATGCATATACAGTTAATGGTTTAAACATCTGACAGCTACTAGTGAACAGTTAAAAAAAGACAGATTGGGTTCAACTGGGTGATGTACCAAACACAAAATGAACAGCCAACACCACACAAAACCAGTCTGTCAGTTAGTGATCACAGGGGTTTAAATGTCAGAGATATGAAAAAGTTAACAGAGATAATGACATCGTCATTGCACATGCTGAAGTACCTCATCCTGGAGAAACTATGTCTGAAGAAGTAAATGACTTTGTTAAAGACTGGTGAGCTAACTTTCAGCCGTGCGGGCTGGGGTGTCATTAGCAGAACTGAGTTCACGGCAGTATGATTACTGTCAAGGTACTTCTTTGTGGGAATGATAGAGCCGTACATGGTAGTGTAGAAACACTTTTTATCATTTAACTAATGCTGGTTTTGGAATTTTCAAAAAATGGCTTTTGAATAAAAACCCAACCCAGTTCTTAAAAAGACCTTTCAGATAGTGACAGTATTTTTAAGATATTTATATTTTAAAGTTTAACCAAGATTAATTTTTAAGAAAGATTTTAAGTTTGAAACCAAGGTTTATTTTTAAATATATCAGTGAATGCAAATTTCTTTGTATTGCACAATCATAGAATCTTAGAATAGTTAGGTTGGAAAGGACCTTAAGATCATCTAGTTCCAACTGCCTGCCATGGGCATGGACACCTTGCACTAAACCATGTCACCCAAGGCTCTGTCCAACCTGGCCTTGAACACTGCCACAGATGGAGCATTCACAACTTCCTTGAGCAACCCATTCCAGTGCCTCACCACCCTCACATTAAAGAACTTCCTCCTTATATTTAACCAAAACTTCCCTCTTTTTAACTTTGAGCCCATTTTTAAAAGTTTTAAAGTTTAAAAGTTTATAAGATTTAAACTTTCCCCTTGTTTAAGTTTTAATCCATTACCCCCTGTCCTGTCACAACAGTCCCTAATGAAGAGTCCCTCCCCAGAATCCTTATAGGCCCCCTTCAAATACTAGGTGGCTGCTATGTGGTCTCCACAAGCCTTCTCTTCTCCAAGCTGAACAGCCTCAACTTTCTCAGCCGATCTTCATATGGGAGGTGCTCCAGTCCCCTGATCATCCTCGTGGCCCTCCTCTGGACTTGTTCCAACAGTTCCACATCCTTTTTATGTTGAGGACACCAGAACTGCACACAATACTCCAGGTGAGTTTTCACAAGAGCGGAGTAAAAAGGCAGGATCACCTCCTTCTACCTGCTGGTCACGCTCCTTTTGATGCAGCCCAGGATACAGTTGGCTTTCTGAGCTGCGAGTGCACACTGAAGCCGGCTCATGTTCATTTTCTCATTGACCAACACCCTCAAGTCCTTCTCTGCAGGGCTGCTCTGAGTCTCTTTTCTGCCCAACTTGTAGCTGTGCCAATTTCTTTCAATGCATTTCTTGAGACCACTCAAAGAGGATTAACTGAGATAATGGTCATTAGACAGTATTTTGAAACAACTGTTTAATAGATATAAAACAAATATCATCCATATCCTAAGCCACTATGACTACAAAAACTTTTTCTTTATTTGTTAATTTTAGAGTAAACTATAATGAGATATTATTGTAAATTCAAGAAATATAGATAGCAGTGGATTCTTCTGCCTTCCTAGTGTATGTGAATGCAAATGGTTTTTTTTTCAGTTTACTATAACTGGAGCCAATTTTTTTGACCCAAAGGACTGTTACTTATCTGCGTAGGTTCTTTATTACCCAGTGAATAATTTGCACCATGTTTCTCCTCTCCTCACAGGCTCCCACCCTGAAGTCACTCTCTGAGAGTGCTTGAACAGCTAAGGTGCCTCTTTCAGACATGCAAGGCACCTAAAACCTACAACAATCTACACATCTAACCCATGCCTGTCATGAGACAAAGCCTCCTTCCCAAACATCTGGATCTGGCTCTCGCTGTCTTTTAAACCCTTGTTTTTATTCTTGGTAAAATAAAGAGTTGTTGAAAAGCATATGGCAAGCCTGGAACTGAGGCAACCCAAACCATCAGTTGCTTTGTAATAAAAATTAGTAATAAGCATAATGCTCCCCATATCAGATCAGTGAGCATAAGAGAATATGAGCAAAGTGAGACAAGTACAAGGACAAAAGCATTTTTTGTTTCTGTTGTATGTGCATTTTATTGATGTAGAGTGGCTGATAGAATAGACTACTGCAGAGTCTGGGGAGGTGCAGCACTGAAGGAGAGAATTCCTCTACCTATGAGAATGAATGAAAGCTAGAAAGAGTGTAGAGATTTGTGGGTGGGAGGGGGTGGAAGTCCAGTTAAGTTGATGGAAAGCATGTACTCTGAAGAAGAGTTAGTGGGGAAATGGTGGGAAAAGTGTGATGGAGCTTTGAAACTGAATTTGAGGGCAAGAACAAGTATAGCAACATGCTGTCAAAGGAGCCATTGCCTCTGATGAGAAAAGGTGAAGTGGATACTAAAGTGTATCCAAGTAAGTCCCTTAACGGGCACTAGTTACATGTCCAGGGACAGTTATCTTGTGGGTAAATTCATTCACCTCATTTGTAGGGGATTCAAATAATACCTTGGATGCCTAAATTAAGACATGTGAATTGCAGACAAAAAGGAGTATTCACTTTGAGCTTTACCCTCACTTGAAATTCATAGGTCGAATGCTTATTCATATGTAAGCATAAGTAATAATGATTCTTTCTTCTTTTGACTGGCCTAAGCAAGTACATTCAGTAAGTTTTCAATTATCATCACTTATACCATGCATAACAGCAAGGAAGCTCATCAAATTAGATATGTTAATTTTATTTAAAATTTTAGATGTATTTCTTAGCTAGCACTACTGCAGTTCTTATTTGGAAAGGTGGTTCTTAAGACTTGCATTTTGCTATTTAACATGTGTGATGTCAATTTGAAGAATGAGATTTATTTTCTTTCTCTATTCTTATATTTGGGGTGTACAATGCAACAGGAAACAACAATCTTTGTTGTATGCACCATATGCACCAGTTCCTCTTTCTCATTTTGAATGTGTTTCTGCTTCAAAAATTGGAGCGCTGTGTTAGAGCCAACAGTGATCTCTCCCTGTTTTAAAAAAGTTGACTATTGAAACCCAAGTTTTCATAAATCACATATAGTATTAGTTTTCAGTAGCGCACGTGTGCTAGCTAAGGCAAAACGTGTATTTCAGTTGGCTTAATATCTTGTCAGATTGATCCCCAGCATGAAGTGTCTCTTATTTAATAAATATGTATAGCCCTAATTATTTTTATTTAGTGACTAGGGAAAATAATGAGCCACAAAGACAAGTTGATAACTTCCATTGTACAAAATACTCAGTATCACATTTTACTAAGAAGAAAATGGGAGCCTACTTGAACTTGTGCCTGTTGACATCTAGATCAGAAAGCCAGATGTATAAAAATCCTTGATATTTTCAACATCTATGGTTGAAACATTAAACTTACATCTTGGATCATTAAATTTACATCTTGCAACATTGTAATGCAAGTTTGCACCATGCTAACTGTTCACTGTATACTCTGGGTAATTGTGGTGAACATGCCATAATAATTCATCAACCCTGAAAGAAATCACAAAGTTCAATGCATATTAAAAATGTGATTGGGGTGTATTACAGAGAAAATGGAAATTTGCCACTTCAGAGCACATTGTGTTATCTGAGGTTACTGTTACTGTCTGCATAGCAATACACTTTCTTTACAGGAAGAAAAAAAGCACAATCAAAATATATGTGGTGACTTGATTATACACCTGGTATTCCTTCAAAAGAAGTGATTTTGTTTGGTTATTTTCTACTATAAATGACTAATTATGGGTTTACTGAATATGGTGTTGAGAAATATGATAATTAGTGAAGCTTGTCTTAATTTAATGGCCACAGAACTTTATTTCTTATTTAAATAGACTTAAACTCAGTTGATACATAATATTTTTTGCTCACGTGTTATGTTCTTCTTCTTGTGTCTTTTTTTCCTTTTAGATGAACAAGGTATGTGGTCCTCCTGTAAAGAAGCCTACGCAGTCTCCGGATTGCTCCTTAGATCAAAATAGAGATAATCAAGGGTTGAAGATATTCTGAAGAGACAGCGAAGAAACCCTCTCCAGCAGCAGAAGGTAAGATATTAGTTTTACAGCCAGAAGGAAAGAATAAAGTAAGCCATTAATTTTACAACAGAATAGACTATATTCAATGCAATGGCATGCATTACTAGAGAATAAATAAAGATTGCAAAGAATGAAGCGTTTCAGCAACATAATGTGCCGTTACATTTTAGAAAGAGTAATTTTATGACTAGATTTTCTTTTCTGAAATAAAGGACATATGACGAGTCATTTGGTGTGGCTTGAAGCATTCATAAGTGGATAACATTTGTAGAATATGAACATTAGCTTTATATTGATGTATACATTTTCAAATTACATTTAACTTGCACACTGACAGGCATGATCAAAGGTATCAAAAAGTGATTGTGACTTTCATCGGAAGACTGTAAAAATTGATCAGTCAAAAAAAAAAAAAAAGAAAAGGATGACTGTTCTTACATACCCTTCTCCTATAAAAAATGAGACAAGTAAGTGTCTGGGGCTAAAACTTGTAATCCTTGTTCAAACAGGTCCAGCTGATTTTTTTTTTTTTTCTCAGACTTTTGTCAGTATATGGCGAATTGAGATAACTGCAAAGACTTGGAGGTTTTATTTAGACCTGGCTCAGCATTAGAGAGTAAAATCTGCCAGACTGCATTTAAGTGTTTTAAGTTGCCGCTGTATTCTATGGAGAGAAGGATTCAATTCAGCTGCCACCCAGTGCCACTTGAGGATACCCAGCTGATATTCCACTGCCAAGAAGGTGGCCTGTAAATTGTATTGTATATTCCAGCTTTCTGCAGATATCCTGGATAGCTGAGGGCATCTCAAAAATCGGTCTATCTTTAGACAAATTAATCAAGTCTTTAATGACTGCAATAGTAATAGCACTGTAAGGAGTAAGGTGCTATTACAGGTGAGACTAAACGCCCTATTATACCAACAAGGTGCAAAGTTAAAATCAGAAATTTCATTTCTGTCAAAGTGTTTGCTAAAACACAAAGAGGTTTTCTTTGTCCTTTTTCCTTTTATCTCACTTTGCGGTGTGGAAGGAAATTGAAGTGAGAGAATTGCGTAATTGCTCATTCCTGATGTCTGGAAAAAAAAAAAAAAAGCCTCTGAGCTTCAAAAGCAGACCATTTTTGTTAGTGCAAGGTCCTTTGAGTTCCCAATAGTGGAGATAAAAATAAAAACAAAACCCAAACCCATAGGCTTTGTAGAGCATTGTGAAATGGAAAGAGATGCAAACCAGAAGTTTGCTTTAGCCGGCACAGAAGTTCGTCAGGCAACACGCATTATACAGGTACATTTTCTCTGTGTTACGTAGCTAGGGAAGTTCTTGATATTTGATGATTGCTAGCATTCTGCAAACGTGTAACCATATTCTAAAATCTCACTTCACCCAGGACTGTTCCATGTTTCAAAATAAGTGTTGTCTGAGTTGACATCAGGGATATTGCTAAGAAGACCTGAAGGGTCATGAAGGGCAGTAAGCAGCACAATGCAGTATTATTTTGCCATGATTTTCACCTGCCTGAAATGCTGGAAACACTTTATGGCATGCAGCAGGAGCTACAGCAAAAAGGGGGACAGTTGAGAAAGTTTGAGATCCACTGACACAGATTTCAGTTTAACAACTTCACAGTTGATACCGTTTTCATTTGCTGCCTCCAGGATCACCTCCTTCCTTATTAGTCACAATTGCTTTATATTTCATTTTGTATTCCCATGGCAACTGTAACAATTCCTCACATGGAAGAGTGACTACAGCACATGTATGCAGCCTGCTTTTAAGGAGGTGCTGTAACTCCACTTTACTTACCTTCCATATACTTCTGGCAGCAGGTTGCTCTCAGCAACTTTCACAGGCTTTAGCAGAAAAGAACAGGGTTCTCCCAAACCATGTAGTCTTGGTCAATGACATTATCTGAGGGGAAATGAATGGAAATTCCATTAGATGTGTGAGTTCCCTGATTTTCTAATATTTTCAGATACATCCCTGGATGAAAGTTTCCATTTTAAAGAACATGGCAGACTGCATCTTCCTGAACTTCTAAATTATTTTTACCGTCACACCTAAGCTGGTATTTTCTACTGCTATGTGGTACAAGAAGGAAAGGAAATTTCTCTGTGCTTTTGACACCAAAAATTGTCCGATGAATTTCAAAAAATCTAAGGAGAAACTTCCATAGGAACAAATTTTAAAGTATATAATGCTTTTTTCTCCAGAACTGAACATTGCATACATCTTTTAGTACAGAGAATAAAATTGCAAAACAATTAACATTTCCAAATAAACTGATAAGAAATATCTGCAGCTTCCAGCTTGCACTGAGTGTAATTGCACATTTGTGCTCAGCTGCCTATAATTACATGCTATCTGGTCTAGAAGATGATGATGTGAAAATTGACATTCATACCATCTGCCCTTCTAACTACTTTGGTCAGACATCAATGGGGGATGAAATCAGTTATTGCTTCTGTATTAACTTTAGCTTTGCCTCAGGATGTATTTACTAATAAACTGAATGACCTTTCCATTAGAATGCAGTTTGTCACAAGATATTATGGCAGCTCTATTTATTTCAGTTTCTGTGCTGTACATGGATTTACAGAAGAAGAAATTCCAACTATTTACTATGAGAGGACTCTCTAAACACTAGTTTTCAGTCAGAATGTAAACCCGAAGCATAGATAAAATCAAAATCAATCTCATTCAATGGGAAATGGAGAAAAATTGCAAAAAAGCTGTACACAGTGGATGCAATTTTGGGGATGGAGAGGCACAAGATATGACTATTCATGTCTGGGAGAGTGTGGATGAATCATACATGCATATTTTAAATATATTGCGCAAAGGCAATTATATGATGCATAGTCAAATTTTACCCTACCTGAGATTTTCCAAACTGCAGTTTTAGACGTAGTGCGGTACTTGTATCACATTTAATATGCATAGTAAATCTAAATCACTTTGGTTTGTGTAAAGTATTTGCCATACAATTACAAGAAAGAATTTGTGGCTTTTTAAATGACAGACTGTATGTAAGCACTCATGTATATAATCACTCATGTTTTATCTGTTTTAATTTGGAGTAAACAGTAGTTAATAATTTCATTCCTTATGCCATTTTAGGCCTGTGTTCACTAAATACAGGGAAATGTATGGAGTATTTCTGGCATTTTTTCATTGTGGCAAGCATCATAAAAGAAGTTAACACAGAGTGAAGTTTGCTGTGTTACAGAGCAGCAAGTACAGCATTTGCTTTTGCCTTTCTTTGTGCCTGCAGGTCATAGATAACTCCGTATAGTGTGATGTTCTAGACTAGAATGAATAAATATTTTAATTATTCACAGCAGGAATGGGTCTCCCACGAAGAGTTTTTCAATACATAAGCAAACATTTTATAAACATAAGTATCACAATCCAGTTAAAACCATACTAACTAAAAAGTCATTTATTTGTAGTAAGTACAAATACTTATCATTAGCTCTGGGCATCTTGACAATTATTTAAAATAGCAATATGTAATTTATAACCTATCAACAGCACATGATAAAACTGATGTAATTTTTCAGACAGTTATTTAAATATTCACTAAATATTTAACACCTACCTCTTAAACCCATCTTACCTAAATTTTTTCTTGCTCCATCACTCTAACAAATACTCTTAGTAGTATTTGTAATGCTGTATAGTGGACTAGTTGGTGGCATTAATGAAAAACAGATTACGTATTCAATTTAATTATTATTATTGTAAACTGCTATGTTTTTGTGGGTTTTTTTTTTACAACATTTTTGCTATATTTCTGCAAGTGTAGCATTGCAAATTGCATCACAGCTATGCAAGAAAATTTCAGGTTGGAGGGAAATAATTCCTGTTCCAGAGCATGAGTGAAGTTGGTTGGGTTTTTTTCATTTTCACTTTTGAGAGTATGAACTTTGTAAAGCTACTGAAGTGATCTGAGAGATTCCAATTAATCTAACAGGAAATTGACAAATTGATTTAAGAAATAAAGATCATTGGAACCAATGGAGAGTAGTAAAATCATCATCATCATGATGTTATTGGCTGTTGATTATTTCCTGTGTTCCCCTGTGCAGGGAATTTATCAGCTAGTTCCAGCTCTACAGAGCCTTTTACGGTGGTCTGGCTGATCAGCTCTGCAGTAATGATTTGGCAGCTGCCGATGGACTCCCGTGTTGGAACAGAGATGTTGTAAGAAGGTGTCTTTCTGACTCGCTTTTGTCTTTTGTATTTTGAGTTTGTTTCTCTGGAGTAGCTTCCAACTCAAGTGCATTGTTTCCCTAGGTATCAAGGTGTCAAGGATAGTTTGGAAAACAAATTGGCATGGATTTCCTTCTCTCAAGCTTAACCTTTAAACAGTAAAAAAAAATATGTTTCAACAACAACAAAAAAAACCCTACTGTTTTTCAGATATTCTTCTGTCAAATTTACAGCACTTACACATATACTAGAAAAGAAGCTTGGATTGACATTTACAAAATACAGTTGGAGAAAAAGAGCATGGATTTTTGAGCTTGATCTATATAAAATGTTCCTTTTGATACAGATTGTGTGATAACAGACAAAAGCTATTTGCTTAAAACTTTCTCTACTCTAAAGAATGAAGCAACCTCTTAATATATATGGCTTCCCAAAAGAGAGCTAAAAGTTAAAACACAAAACATCTTAAAGGTGAAACACATGTATTGTTTTATGTATGCAGCAGGTTGGGAGACAAGGTTCAGTAGCAGTGGCAAAGAAGAGATAATAATCAACTGCTATGCTCCTGGATGTGTATTTCTGGAATCAATATATTTCACAGCTTACAAAACACTAACATTTGAGGATGTCAGGAAGATTTTCAGAGATCTGATCTCTATGTTTTTGCTTTATTGCTCTCATCACCAAAACAAGTATTTCTCTGAGCAGGAAAACCTTGTGATGACAGAGACCAAAAGATTAAAAAGTTCACTGCAACTATGTTTTGATAAAGATCATGCTGTTAATACAGCATTTATTAGTAGGTTTTATCAAAGGTTATATTAAAGATGACTAAAGGTTGTGAGGTGAGTTAATGAAGTGGGAGATATCTGGTACTAAGTAGAAGGAACAGTGACAGGCTGTATCTTTAGGTATCTCTAAAAAGATTATGTAGGAGCTGTAATTTATTGATTAGCAATACCTAAGGAAACTTAATGGATACTCTCGGTGAACAGCTACAGGTCTGCTTTTCTTTATCATCTTGGATAGACCAATGCTTTGGCAGTACCAAGGCCCAATGACTCCTTTGATTGCCTCATTGGAAAACTCTGTCCTAAATTTTCAACAATC